TCCAAGGAAGAATTCGATGCCTACGGCATCAATGATGAAGACCGCTTTCTGATTGAGTACATGGCGCGTCAAGAAATCGGCCACGCAACTGTGATTAGTAACATGCTTGGCCCCGAAGCTCCCAAGCAGTGCACGTACAACTACCCCGTCTCCAACGTCCCCGAGTTCATCGACTTCAACCAGAAGCTCACGCGCTGGGGTGAGTCAGGCGTTTACGGCTTTCTGCCTCACTTGAACTCTGGACCTGCGGCGCAGCTGTTGCTTCAGAGCATTACCATTGAGGCGAGGCAGCAGATGGTCTTTAGGCAGTTTGGCGGTACGTTTGCCATGCCTGAGTGGCACACGCCTGGTATTCCGCAGAGCTGGGCGTGGACTTTGTTGGCGCCGTATATCTCGAGCTGTCCTTATAATCAGACGAGACTTGTGTGGCAAAATTTTCCGTCCTTGAATCTTCTTAACCAGCCTAACCCTGCGCGAATCAATGGGTCGGCGGTATGGAATGAGACGACTGGTGGATATGCCAATACCTTGTCTACCAAGGATATTGATGAAGATGAGCTATGTGTCAACGCCACTAAGACCGGAGAGAACTGTAAGGCCGCAATTACTCACAACCGCACCATCCCCCTCTCCTACCCCGGCCGTCAGGTCTTCCTGAACTGGGACGCACCCGGCAAGCCTGTCGGTCCCAACAACAGCTACATCACCTCCACCAACGTCAAGGAGCCCAAGTTCGCCGCCTGGGTCTCTCAGCTCAATGTTACATACTCTCCTCTCCAGAACATCAGTCTTGAGGATAGAACGGCGTACACTATCCAGCCTAATGTTTCGACTTGGCAAGGTGATCCCGCTATCAACGGAACTATGTTCCTTGCTTTGACGGATACTGACCTTTATGTCACGCCTTATAACCTTACGATGATTAATCCTCACGTTGCTGCTCTGGCTGTTTATCAGGCTGGTTAAGTCAGTGTTTGCTGGGCTCTAGCTATGACAGTTTTGGAATATTTGGCAGATGGGTATGGCTTATGGTTGCTTGTATAATTCTATTCATCGTGTATTATATCACGACTTAATGATATTCACATATTCACCTGGAATTGGCTTTGAAATGATGAAACTTAATTGCGTGACTATAATGAAATGCTAAAAACAATTTCCCTTGTGACCGTGACTCAGATATCATCATAACCATACAGACCCTCTTCCAATCCCTTGATCTGCAGTGCCAACAACTTAGAGTAGTATCGGCACATGGCCAGGTTACCACCATGGTACCAGAATCCAGGATGTCCACTCTTCTGCCAGATAGTCCTCATCTCACCCTCATCATTGAAGCCCCAAACATCATTCACCTTGTCCGCGATGGCATCGCCAAACATGACCCTCGTCTGCGTTCTCATGTTCTGATATCCAGTCGCGAACACAATCTCATCAGCCTCAAGCTCCGAGCCATCCGCGAATCTCAATCCATGCGGCAAAACAGTCTCAATCTCTTGTCCGTGCTTGACCTTGATCTTGCCGTCGGCGATGAGTTGAGAAGCACCGACGTCAATGTAGTAGCCGCCTCCGCGCTGGAAGTACTTGAGCAAGAGACCGGCGTCATCGGGACCCGCATCAGTCTTGAAACCAGCTTTGTTGAGACCGGAGAGGATGTCCTTGTCGAAGTCTGCTTGCTTCTTGGTCGTTGTGACTGACAGGGCTTTGAAAACGGGGATGGGAAGGCCGTGGATGAGAAGATCGGCGTCATCGACGGGGGGACCATCTTCGGAGTAGACGCCCTTGAGACCAATGTCGGTGATGGCCTTGGAGGAAACGACATGTGTGCTGGAACGCTGGACCATAGTGACGTCGTAGCCCTTCTCAAGGAAATCCTGAGCGATATCGTGACCTGAGTTGCACGATCCAACGACGATAGCCTTCTTACCCTGGCTGTTATCACGAGCACCAGAGAACTCGGAAGAGTGGCAAAGACGATCGCCCTTGAAGTCGGAAATGCCCTTCATGTCAGGCATGTTCTTCTTTCCAGAGTGACCAGTTGCCTGGATGAGATGTCGAGGGTGCAGAATTCGTCGCTCCTTAGTACCATCATCCTTGGTTCGCTCAACAGTGACATCCCATCGCTTCTTTGCGTCATCCCACTTTGTCTCAATGAGGGAAGTCTTCATCCAGATGTTGAGCTCAAGAAGAGTGGCGTAAGCTTCGAAGAATTGAGCGAGCTTGTCCTTGGGTGTGAAGATGGGCCATTGGGGAGGGAATTGGAGATACGGCATGTGATCGTACCAGACAGGGTCGTGGAGAACGAGTTGGTGGTATCGCTTGCGCCAGTTATCGCCAACGCGATCGTTCTGGTCGATTGCGAGGGCTTCGACGCCGAGCATCTTGAGACGAGCAGCGGCTGTGAGACCAGCTTGACCGGCGCCTAAAACAGTTAGCTACCAGCAAATTTCATAAAGAATATGTATTGCTTACCAACGATCAAAACAGCAGGCTCGCTACCATCAGCGAAATCAGCTTCAGCCTCTCGTCGCTGCGCCCAGTTCTTTCGCCCAGGCTTTCCACCATGCTCAACACCACGCGATCGATGGTCATTGATCGCCTCCTCAAAGCCCTTAAGCTCCTGAATTCTCGTATAAAATGTGAAAATCTTCCACTCGCCATTCTCCTCAATCAGGCGCGCAAGACCCAGTCCCTTGCCGCGCACAGTCTCAATCTCGAAAAAGAACTGTACGCCCTGGACTTCACCAGCGCCATCGATGGGCAGAAACTGAGGCTTTCGCACAGGAGCTGAGCTATCAACCTCGATTTTAGTCAGGCGAAGACCGTCCTTTGACTCGGCGCAAGACTTTAGGAATGAGAGGATGTTGGAAGGGCCTTGTACAGTACGGAAGTTCCAGGATAGGGCGAGATGATCGCGCCAGAAACCATCTTCGGAGAAGAGACGGGCCAGAGCTGTGAGGTCTTTGTTCTTGAGGGCTGTATTGAAGGCGGATACGAGGGAGGTGGCGATTTCTTGGGGGTTTGAGGAGGAGGGCTTTTTGGTTGCGGAGGGGAATTTTGCGAGGGCGATGTTTGTTGAGCCGGGGACTGCCCACGCCCGGGAAGTCCGGGGGATGCTTTGAGGAATAACGTCACCCATTGTGATACTTGTGAATGTGAATGTGAGCTGTAGAGGTGAAGAGGAGAATGAGAGAGAGAGAGAGTTGATGATGGAGTGAAGGAAGAGGGAGGGGAAAATGGTTGGGTTTAAGTAAGGCAGCCTCAAGTGAAACATGCATAACCAAACACAAGCCGACAGTTTCTAAGCCCGCTGATCGACGTTACATTTCCCTTTACCATTGGACTATTCCTGTCAAACTCTCCCTCCGTGCTTCCCCACGTTTCCGTTTCCCGCCAACTACTGCCCCTCCCCCGCTCAAAGCCCCGCACTTTGACGAGCGGTTCCGACTACGGTGCCTATTCTAGCGGAATCGGCTCCGGGAGATCTTCCTTCCATTGGCGGTTCCGTACGATTCGGTGATGAGGAGTAAATCTGGGGTAGTGAGGTTGTGAGGCTGATGGTCGGGGTTGAGGATGTTTTCAAGGTGTCGTGAGGTGAGATTGTGATGAGGCCTTCGGCAAATGAAATTGAGTTTGGCTTGCAGGGTGTTTCACCGGTATCGGGTCATACCTGCAGATACGACTGTAGAATTTTAATTCGATATGTGCCGCTTTTCCTGGTGCAGTTTCAACGGTGAATTCTATAATAACTCTTCACCGCAAGATAAACGTTCTCTACATAGAAATCGGTAGATTGAACTCTAATACTAATGCCGAAGCGATTGCCGTGTTAATATTGGTTGGAATTGAGGCCCTTGCATGAGACCCTTGAAAAAGGCCGAGTTGATGCCATTGAGTACTCTGTATATTGATTGAAGTTTCATAGCGTGCCATTGAGATCTGCTTACATCTCTTGGCAGATGAGGCTCTCGGAGTGACGTCTAGGATCAGCTTATTCTTGGACTGGTCAGCATCCTGCCCCTTGGGGAACAATGAGATAAGATGACTGGTAGGCTGCCGACATTAGCGCTTAGCGGCGTTGTCATTTGCTCAAGGAAATCTAGCAATTATCTACTTAATATACTGTAGAGGCGTCTGTCCTGACTCGACTATATAGGGCTGGCACGAGCTACGCAGAAGCATTAGGGGATGTAGTCTTCCTAGAGGACCAGAGCAAGACTAACCCTGTTCCCTCATACCATTGGACAAATTGAAGATCGGTGATTATCTATTCCGTTGTACTCTGCGATGCTGGTTGGCTTCAGGGCTCCCGGTAAAATGGTAAATGCTGACCATTGATCAGATCGGTGTGTAGACCGTCGCACTTGCAACGGCTTGATTATATCTAGTTATTTCTCCATCATCATGACAGCCTTTTGTCGTATTTACCTCCCGCTGCCACTCCTTTCCAATTTTTATGAAGTATCTAGCCGAGACTAGAGCCTCGCGGTGACTCGCTTACATCCCTCCAATTAAGATCCAAGGTGCCTGCAAGGGTTGGGGCACGGATGAGTACTTAGGCTAAGCACATTACACTCACTTTAAACTACTTGGTATACTATGAGGCGATTGCTTGTTCTAAGGTTGGCGGATGTGAGCAGGAATTGTAATTTACAGGTATAGCGTTTCACAGCCACAATAACCTGAGGTAAATTGCAATGTTGGTAATGCATAACTTCAGTCAAGCGGCGTAATCTGCCTTGCTGACTCTAGAGTCATTCTGGATTGGGTGGCTGAAACATACATCATCAAGAGGGGCTTTGATAGGCTCGTTATACAAATGTGACAACGCCTGCATACAATAACGCCTCAGGCATCTATACTGAGACTTGCTCAGCCTGATTTCCTCTTAGGCATATATACTTAGGCACCCATGCGCTGGTGTTGTCAGTCAATCTCACTTTGATTGTCCCTGATATCAGACCTCGTTTTGACTGCTTCCCCAGTTTAAGATTGCACCTATGCCATCTTTTGGAAGACTTCAAGCCGCGCTGGCTTCTGCAACGAACGAGTTGACGCTTGCAGCAGCGAACATCAATTTTGACTTCACACTAGTTAGATGTGAAGTACCGAAAGAATTCGAACCTCTAGGCAGCGCTCTGTCCCAAACTCGAAAGGAAAATGCAGAAGGCGGGACAGCGCATATAACTGCTCGCAGGCTTGGTGTGCTTTTCGAGGGTATACTTGGACCTACACCTGCTCTTGTCAAATCCTATGGTATTCGGGTGTCTGAGATCGCCCAAGCTGTCCAGAAAGAAAATCCACCTGAGATAGAGGAGAGTATCTTTGCAGCCCATGCTGGAGCAGATGGTACCTCCATCTGGGCTGCAGCAACATCGTCCCCAACGGCACTGCATGTGCAGCTTCTTGCTTGTATGCTGGCTCGTCTCTGGTCAGCTTCTGAAGCGACATCAATCTGGGTCGAGCTTATCAAAGAGAGGAGGAAACAGATTGAAGGCTTATGGAACGATGAGGAGCCTCTCCGATTCGCCACGGTTGCTGCCGCAGCTCAATCAGACATATCCCGCGCTAGTCTAGCTGAGTGGGACGCAAGTGTTCGCTCTTGGCTCCGAACAGCAGATCGGTTCAACCAGGAGCGACAAGACAAGCTGATGATCCTTCTTGACAAGGTCAACTTGCCCATCAGTCATGACACAGTCTACTCGAGTGTCATAGCAGCTTGGAAGTCAGCTGTGGAGACGATGGAAAGGCTGGTCAAGGGAATGCCTCAGGCCGTCAATGAAGGTTCATGCCTCCTCGCGTTGAGTGCCTGGCACCTGTATCCTGATATCACTGTTGGTGGATCAGATACGCCGCCTCTTCAGTTCTCAGATCCACTTGTCCAGTCTGGTGGGTTCCTAACCCTGGGGCTCGCACGCCCACGCGAAGGTGCTGCTCATGGTGTTTTTTGGTCCTTATCGCTGGCTCACCTGAACTTTTACGGCCGCCCCGTCTCCAGGAAGGCGAGATTTGACACTGAGTCTCGCAAGCTATCATTTGGCCAGTTCACCCAAGCGGTGTACGGTTCGCTCCTGGGACACTGGAATCTCACAGGGCCTTTGGCACAATACCCGTCTCGTATCTTTGTTGCGATGAAACAGACCATAGAACGACAGGTATCTGCTGACACACCCAAAGCGGTGGTCAAGGAGTCACGAGATCCTTCTTCCATTATCAATATTCTCTCGAGATTAGGAGCCGCCCACCTAGACGCACTGCCTTTCCCAGATGATATTATTCACAAGCTCTTTGCTCTGGGTAACAGACGTGCGTCTAAGTTCATTAAATCCCCAGGACCGAGGCCGTTCCTTGGAATTGGCGAAGTAGGAGATCTTCTGAATAAACTCAATGGTCCAATGGAACGGGTGGCCCTGCTTCGCCGGCTAGCTCTCTCCAGTGATTACTATCCTGATGCATACATCATTCGCTACTTTGATGATGACAAGTCGCCATTTACTCCAGCTGGAGAGACTCAGTATTGTGCGTTTGCCAGTGCACAAGCCCGCCGCAACTCTGATGGTCTCTCATCCACACATGGCCAATGGGTTCCCAGATCATTTAGGGCTAAATATCCATACCCAGGAGAGGTGGTTACCCAGATGACAGAACTCGACTCCCTCTGCCTGGCTTCGCAGGGCAAAGCTATCACAATGACAGCGACAGGCCCGGCGGGAGAGGCAGTCTTGCAGGACTTCCATTTTGTTTGTGGTGCAGAGTACAGTGCCGCCATCTACATTCATGAAACAGCAATTGGACGCGTGCCAAAGATAGGCCAAGAATTTTACTCTGCCATAAGACCTATAAGTATAGAAGATATCGAATGGTGTTTGGAGTCCGATTTCTGTAAACCAGAAAAGCTGCTTGATATTTTCTATGTCGACCCGGCTCCTTCAAATTTGACCTTAAGAGCACTGGCCATAGCCCATAAGGCTTACCAAACACTTCCGGATGCGGCCATATCTACTCGTTCTTTAGAGTCACCTTTATATCAAGCCAAGTGGGCCAAGTCCCTGTTAGATATAAAGGGAGGCCTAGATCCGCTCGGCAACATCAACTTTCACTATCAGCCACCGGTTCTGAACCTCAGTAATTCACTATCATGTGTGGCATATTTGGAAGGTGGATTTGACTTGGAGCCGAGAGATTTAGAGCGCACTTTCGCTCTCGCTTTTGAAGAAAGTATCTACTTCTCCATGAAGGCATGATAAGAACCGAAATACTACTGCTGCGCTTTACTAACAATCTGTATCAGCTCGCTTGCGATCCTAGCGATGATGTGAAAGACTATGAACTCAAGAGATTTACAGGTAATATTGGACGATCTGGTCTCACGCTTCTCATTCCACCCAAAACACCGATGATCATGAAACTTGAAGAGACATCTTGGCGAGTGATGTCCTCTTCAGAGTTCGACGGAAAGTCCGAGAATTACTTCCCCAAAACCTCTATGCACCTCTCCTTCACCGAATATTATGTTCCGCTCGTTCAGTCCGGCGATGTGCAGGAGCAGGATAGTCAGGTTTTCCTACTAGAATCTGTCGTCTCAATATACGACGCGGGGCGTTGGATCGGTGATGTTGATGTATTGAAATGTCTTGCTAGCCCTCTTGTTTCTTACATGCCGGAAATCTCCTGTCGCGGCAATCATCCTGGCTACAAATTTGTAGGTATTTCATCTCTGGAAACATGGGATGATGTTCTTGATCCTCCTCTAGGCGATGGTATCATTAGAGCTCAAGGCTCATGGCTAGCGAGGTTAGCAATTGTGACAATCTTTGTCGAGGCTCAAGAAGCAACAGATGGCGAGCGTATCAGTGTTCTCTCGAGCAATACTTGCTGGGGCTGTTCTAGACCTGATGAATACTTTTCACTAAGTCGATTTACACATGGACATAGCCTATCTGCAATATGTATACCTAGTATTAGTCGATTTGTTCTATGCTAAGACTATTTCATTTAGTGTTTTTAATTTTTGATTCACAATCGTAGTCGGACTTGCTCAAATGTAAATATTGAATCATTTCCTGTAGATATTATAGCCAGTTTTTGGTTAAATGATCCAAGAATAATTACTATACTAAGGCGACTCTCCCTCCCCATTCATTGCTGTAATGAAAATAAATTGCTTGTTTGTAGTGGGCCTCTGGTCTCATTCTATGCTAAGGGTCAAGCCTCGTGGCACGTCACTATGCATTTCCTTTTAATCACTCATCACAAGCAAGCAAACATGAAATGGCTTACTAAAATCTTTCGATTGAAGCCCTACTCTATGCGCGAGAAGAGGAAAAGACGCGCTGATTGATAGCAGACAAAGCTTATGATCCCTCAATAATATTGAGAAATCGAACATATTAGAGGGTTTTGATGTAATAACCACCTAAAATAAACTCAGCAATGTATTTTTGAAATTTCCTCAACCTCGGGACTTGTCTTTGCTGCTATATGCACCTACAGAAACAACCGCCATGGAAATATCAAATCTCATCATTGCTTAGATACTTATAACCATTCGAACACCCAGGTAAGCTCGGACTGCCAATACTCATCTGCCGTCTCGATCCCGATCGCGTTTCTCAAAACCACATCAAATACATACAAAATCGCAAAACAATCTTTCAAGTACTTCTTCAAACCTTCTCTCGCCTTCCGCTGAACTTCATCAGACCCATCTACCAGAGGATCAACGACCGCCATGTCTCCTTCAAGAGTACCCTTACGCCGACCGCCAACCCATGACTCAGTAACCCCAAGGGAAAACCAAAAATCTCGGTGCGGAATATTCTGTGCCGGGAAGTCATAGTTCTCAAGGGCGTGGTTGTTCAGAAAGGACAGAAGATTGTCAATAGATAGCAACGGCACCCTTTCCGCTGCCCGAGACTCAACAGCTTCAATGAGGTTCAGGTAGATGTACATCTGCAACGCCACGCTAGCGACGAGATCGAGCCCGAAGGCATGGCCCCAGTGAAGACCCCGTAGATTTGATAGAGGAACCTCGTTGGCAAGACGGACGAGCGCAGTTAACGCCTCACGGCGAATGGGTTTGTCATCGGCGGTAGCAGCTACAATGACCAACATCTTCGCTGCATCGGCCAGGTTTGCATCAGCAGTGCTGTAACTTGGCTCGTAGTAGCTGTCTGGATCCTTCGCTCGGCGTTTCCAATATTCGATGTCCTGGTGCAACGGCTCAAGCGGGTTGTGCAGTGCCGAGTTATCCTCATGAGGCTCGAGGCCAAAGTGGCGCTCAGCGAAGTAGAGCACATCGTCGGAAAAGAGTTTTCCATTTACTGGTGCTGACTGAATCTTCGTGCTCTCGGTATCAGAGAACTCCCTGATAGTTGTCAGGAACACGCGATTGAAGTGGCCGATAACCGCTTGCTGCTCAGGCAAACCTCGCGTAGCTAGGCTATAGTTGCCGTCTTGTTCAGCTGGCGTAAGGGAGAAATGGGGAGCAATCAGGTGCCATGGGATCTTGTGGTCGAGATGCATTTAGAGTAGATTCTTTAGTATTCTTGCTATTGTGGTTCGTTGAATGATGCTGAGATAATTTGGGTCACGGATCTGAAACTAAAGCGTGTTTTGCCTCCATTTTTGTTACTAACATTATCTCCTTTTGTGTATATATGCTTTAATATTGCATGTTGAAAGCACTGTTAGATGTAATTATCCAAAATTTTCCATTTTACAATATGGAAACCATGGGAGAATAGAGACGTGCTACTCAGAGTCATACTATGTCTTTTTCTTTGCTTAGAGAATGGTTTTGCTTACTTGCGCAATTTTTTATATTTGCCTTGCTGTAATTGAGTAAATCTGTCGGCCGTAGTTAATCCTAGAGCTGTTAAAAAAAATTAACATATTTCGATCAATAGCTTGCTGAAGCGTTGAAGCTGTTCGAGATAGCCCATCAAACTTTCCACTCACGTCAGAGGTAGGTAGCCGTTACATCATGACGTATGGCTTGATAAACTCAAGATTGATTGCGGGGAAGGGCCAACAACGTCAAACCGTTTCTTCTTCAACTCAATTGATTCTCTCTCTTACAAAATCATTTCATCCCATCAATTGGCAATTGAATCATCGAAATGCTCGTCGCAATGCTGCTGCGGCTCCCTCTTCTGATCGCCGCCTATGTCGGCGCTGTCGCAGCTGATGGGCAGAAGGTGCTCGGCGGGGATAGCACAGATCTGGATCACATCCGCGACAAGTACTGCCATCCCGACCGCAATTGAATTCATCAGCTAACCCGCATAGACTGCTCGAGGCTCAGATCATTCCCACTGTCATTGATGACTTTCCGCCCGCTCTCAGCCTTCGTGTGAAATGGAAGCACGACTCTGCCGACCTAGGCAATACCCTCAAACCAAATCATCTCAAAAAGGTTCCTTCAATCCATCTTGACAAAGTTGAGTCCGACGCGCTTGCTGGCACTCAACTCTCCAAGGACATGTCGTACGTCATCGTGCTCACCGATCCCGACGCGCCATCTCGCGATGACCCCAAATGGTCCGAATTCTGCCACTGGATCGCAGCAAGCTCTCACCTAAAATACTCATCCAATTCCAAATCCAAACACCACCTTAAAGACATCATCAAATACAAACCTCCTGCTCCACCGCCCAAGACCGGAAAGCACCGCTATGTCTTCTTCACCTTCATCGCAGCCAATGGCACGACCAAGAAGCTGCACCTGAGCAAACCAGAGGAGAGGAAGCACTGGGGTTCGGATGATGCAGGCCATGGAGTTCGTGAGTGGGCGCATGAGAATGGTCTTATTCCCATCGGTAAGGACGATCTAATTCCCATCTCGTTCACCGAGGTTAACAATATCCAGCCGCGAATTTTATATACGCGGAAAACGACGAGCAGTAGCCCCAGGCACTTCACATGTCAGATGCACTCATCCCTAGTTTAAATGATTCGAAAAGGAAGCTCATCCATATAATTTAAGCTCTTCCTTGGTTTTCACTCTTCAATTCAAGAATGTCATTCGTCGTGCCGGAGGTTGTTCCTGATTTAGAAACCGAGCGTTTTTAGCATCGTGCAACCCCGCACCAATACACGTTGTCTATGCCACCACGATCTATGCAGATCCAAGCCCTTGAAGCTTAAACAAGCAGGTCGGCATATAATAGGCACTACCGGTCTTGGCGGGCAGAGCGAATGATTTAATCCATCTTTGGAGCGTGACCTCCGGAGCAGAGATCATTACTGCTTTAGGCAGGTAGCTCCTAGTCTCGGCATGCGATCATCGGAGGTGTATTACTGCTTTTACGTTAACTTCGGAGAATCTCTTGTTCGGAGAAGAGACTGGATGGGCACGAGATCATGAATCATGTATAAATAGTTCAGATAATCTTGATCAGTTTGACTTTCTCGTTCATCAGTGCAGCCATCAAAATGAAGTTCAGCGCCTCTCTCCTCACTCTCATCCCGGCCGTCTTCGCCCTCCCTACGGGCGAAGATGCTGCTGTCTCAAAGCGCCAGAGCGCCAATACAGTGACGGATCAACTCCTCTTCAGCGTCACTCTACCTACATTCACCGCTCGTCGCAACGCCCGTGATCCTCCCACTCTCGACTGGACTTCTGATGGCTGCACCTCTTCCCCCGATAACCCTTTCGGTTTCCCCTTCGTGCCTGCTTGCAACCGTCATGACTTTGGCTACAACAACTATCGAATCCAGAGCCGTTTCACTGTCAGTGCCAAGGCTCGAATTGATAGCAACTTCAAGACTGAGTAAGTCCCCTGTGCAGTTGACGATTGGTAAAGAGAAGGCGCTAATTGTGAATAGTTTGTACTACCAATGCACTTCATCAAGTGCTGCTGGCGCGTGCCGTGCTCTGGCTGATGTTTACTACGCTGCTGTTCGTGCTTTTGGTGGTGGTGATGCTACCCCCGGAAAGAGAGATGAGGATCTCGTCAAAGAGTATGAGGAGAAGGTTGAAATTTACAACAAGGCTGTCGAAGAGGCACAGGCCAAGGGCGAGCTGCCTCGTCTTGACTAAGATTCAGATGCTCTTCTAAATACCTGTACATAGTAAAAGTTCCAAGAATATATTTATGATCTACCACCAGTAATATCCTTTACCATCCTGCTATTTATAGAATCTCTAGAAAAGGTAGAGTTTATTGTCATGCCGCTTACTAGTCCTTACTCTTCGTCTCTTCATCCTAGACGTTTCTTTGAGTTATGTTCCTTTTCATTTTTCGTTAAGTAAAATTTTTTTATCAAACCGTTTCTTACTATAAAGATAATTCCCGCCTTAGAAATATGGCCCCGGCTTGTTAATAAGTAGTCCCTGTCCTGAATCGGGAACACTTAAGGCATATAAAGTAAATCCAATTCAAAAAGAGAGCGCATACCGAGACCCATGGCTTGCACTACCAGATAGATCTTCTAATATCACTCTAGTCCAGGCATTCCGTATTCTCCAATGCCGGCCCGATATCAAAGCCATCTGCCTCTAGCTCACGCTTGCACAATACCCAGTCTTGCTTAAGAGCCGGAAAAAAGGTCCAGGACCATGCACATCGCCAGTCATGCCTGGTAAGCGTATCATGTTGTGCCTGTCCCTTGCTATACTGGCTGAGAATACTTGTTATCCGGGTCGATATACTAGCATTATCAGATGGTGTATCCTTGCTAGAGCCTTTTCGTTTGTCAGCTGCTTCTTTATGGAGTAGGGCCTCGTAATTGCTCTCGTAAATAGGACGGCCTGAGTAGAAAGCTTCCTTAGCCCTGCGAAGCTGTTCTTTATGGTCTACAACCATCAAATGATCGTGTGCCCAAAACCGCTCAACCTGACGCATGTATAGTGTCCATAGACCCAAGGCCTCGTCATCGTTTCCAGACGCAGCATTTAAAAGTCCGGCAAATAGCACGAGACGAGCGACTGCATAATCTGCCGTCTCTTGTCCTTGGACTCTCATTCGCTCTCTTATCAGGGCCAATGCCTCATCGAGTTGACCTAGCATTGCGAATGCACGAGCGCGGTACCAAACAGCTGCATTCGTTATGGGATTCGCCGAGCCTTTACTTTTGAATACCTGGTCGATGAATGAGTCTAGAAAGGAGCCAGCCTCTGCCATGTATCCGGAGCGGCACAGAATAGATGCAAGATTTGTCTTGGTTGACAACCAACGCTCGTCGTCTCCAATCTTTTCCTGTATTTTTGTGACCAGTTCTTTAACTCTATCACGATTGTCCGGTTGGAAGAACCGGACATGGTCCAGCTTGGCCTGCAGGCTCCGGCTGTGATAGACGCCTATAACCTCGTCCATCTTGTTCAAGACGCTCTCCCAAACTGGCGATAATGGATCTATGGGTTGGTTTTCGTCTTGGAGAAACTGTGAGACAAACTCTGTGATGTGGCTGAGAAGCCTGAATTTGCTGTTGATTGCCAGTCCACCGTTCAGTTCCATATCCTCTTCGTTTAGCACTGATTTGGCGTGTGGCATGAGTTGTTGCATCTCGGTCCAATTGTCGGCGTTGGGTACGGGGAATGTATTACACAAAATAGCCATGGCTTTGGCTGCCATTTCTCTCGCTGTGTTGTGATTTCTCTTTACTTGGCTTCGCAGTACAATATGAACTAGCCGATGCAATGTCACGGCTCCTTCGTCACGACCTTTAGTCAAGGCACAGTACTGCTCAAGAAGCGACAAGGCTTCGTTGATTTGACCGTCTGTAGGAGAGCGTATGTTTCCTGTTGGCTGCCAGTCGTCCCATTCGGGGCCACGTACAAATATTCCAGTGGTGAACAGCTCATAGTTGTGTGCGTAGCAGATGAAGAGTGACCGAGGTATTTCCTGCCTCTCGTAGAAGCTCATAAGTTTGAGAAGCTCCATGGCTAGAGTATTCTCCGACTGGATTGCGTGGAATGTTATTATCAACGTTCTTGCGACGGCGCTGTACCTCCCGTCTTCATCTTTGAGAACCGAGGCTTCGGATTCATGAGGTCGGTTTACAATCAGGCTTCGAGCATGTCTCAAACGCTGCAAGTAGCTCGGAATCTGTTCCTTTCCCTTGGACAAATAGGCCACAGATTGTATCAGGGCCAATGGTAGATATTCGAGTTCCGCGGCTAGTTCTGCCAAGTTTGCGTCATCGTATTCAGCGGAAGCGAGCTTTTTTCGCATCAACTCAACGCAGTCGTCGGTTGTCATCTCATCGACCATGACAATTTTGTCTGAATCTGCTAGAATCTCCGCTATCTCTCTACTCCGTGTGGTAAAGAGTATAGATCCATAATCGCAGCTTGGAAGATAGTCTCGCAGCATTCCCGAAGCCGTATCTTGATCCTTGGTTTCACCAAAGACCTTGACGTTGTCAACGTTGTCAACCACCATTACCCAAGAAACTTTCTGCGCTTGCTCTTCAAACCACTTTTTAAGATTGTGAAGCATGGTAGATTGAGGTAGCTGTGGGTTGTCGACGTCACACCCTGGAATCTTGCAATAACGGGCGATCTTGGCATATGACTCGACAAAACGCTCAATGCTGCCGCCATGTACCCAAAATACTGAATGTGCATGCTTCTCATTCATTTCAGCGACCCATTGCGCTGCTAGCTGTGTTTTCCTGTTGTCCCCATGTCAGTTAATCCTGTTTAACCTGGATCATATTATTTACCCGATGCCTCCAGCTCCCCAAATGGCTGCTCGTATGTGGCTCGTCTCTGTAGGGCCAGTCACACTTATACCCAAGCAGTCGTTTAATTTGTCAAGCTCTGACTTTCGTCCTGAGAAATTAGGGTTCTTGGGGGGCGAAAGGAACCAAACACTCGACTTATTTGCATGACCAACCTGGCGTTGCGGGAGCCTCTGTGTCAAACGCGCAGGTTTCTTCTCTGCTATACTTAACATGTCTTTGATTGTGCTCCTCACAGCTTTGTAGCCTTCATCTGTCGCGCTAGCAAATTTGACCATGCTGCTGTGATCCGCATGTATAGCTCTTCCCCTGTCCCCGTCAAGTGTCGCAGATTCTTTGGGCACAATGATACCTCCTCGCTTGCTTGGCAGTGCTTCCCAGAAGCAGCTGGTAGGGATTCGCCTAAATTCCTGCAAGGCCTGAAACTCTTCGTCCAAACGGTCACGCAGCTCGGAACTCTCGTTCAAGATTTCGAGGAGGTTGATATTTGTGTCCATAAACATGCCAAGCAAGGATGCAGCGGCTATCGCAGATCTGGATTGCTTACTTCCACGGTGTGGCGTTCCCATGAAAACTATGCCGACCGTCGATTTCCAGATATCGTGGTAATTTTGGGTTGGCCGTCGGTGTGAGAAACACATTGCCTAAAGTTGATACTCAGTCAATGCCGCGCCCCGTAAGAATGGTTTTAGACAGTCAACAGACATCTTTACAGACAATGCCACCTAAACTATGGCATACAAACATAATATTTCTCCCCGCTGTCCGTGTATCGGAACGAAAATCCCTCAGAGTGTATACCAACTCACGGGCGTGCTCCGAGGCAGACTCGGCGGGTATTCTTCCGGATGAATTATCTTTGTTGATGACCCTTGCGTCATAGCCAAACGACAGTATTCGGGATTTTGGAATGTCTTTGGATAGCAATAGCTTAGGCCAGGGTTCGAGCTTAACTCCATTAGAGCCCGTCCCTCGCCAAGTTTTGTGCCGATCACCCATCAGACCATGAACGAAGACTATGCTGACAGGCTCAAAGGTTAGTCGGCCTGCGATGAAAATGAAACTGGAAACGCAACGCACTCAACATCAGCATCTGGCCCAGCATCGTGCCAAGAAGTGAGACCGAGAAGCTTCGGCTCATTACTCGCTGGCGGCTGCTCTGGCTTAGAGCGGCCGCGACTAGTAATATTTCTTAGCATTTCGGGTTCTTATTGTAGCAT